TGTACATCCTAAATTTATAATGTGATCACGGGCCGCATATTATGACAGGGTTGAAGTCCCCTGGTCTATACACTAAACTATATTTTACTAGAATAATTTTTAAAGGTATTACTTTATTAATGAGGTATATTTTTAAAGTCAGTTATCTTATATAGAAAATTATTAATGTTATACAATAAATATATATTTACAATAATTTATACATGTTAATGTTTTAAAAGATAAATTATTAATAATATAGTAATTTAGATATAAAGTCTAGGCAGGAAGTTAGTTCATACATGGATACTATGTGTAGGTAGGTAACTAAATACACATGCCTACAATTGATGATTTTAGGTTCTAACTTAAGACTTAACAATCTGCCTTCAAGATTTTAAAATATAATTATTTAGGATCTTAAATTATTAATAAGAAATTATTTAGTCGTACATTTTTATTACACTTAAAAATATTGTCAGTTTCATACAAAATCGACATATTATTATCTAATAATTTTGAGGTATAAATATCCTAAAATTAGTCCAAACATTTTGAAAGTTTTATTATGCATAGAAAATAATAATAAACATGATAGTGAAAAGTTTCAAGTCTATACAACTAATATGTTTTATTAAAAATATTTCATCTTGATTATATATTATACTATTATATCCATAATAGTAATTAAAATATTATGATACAAAAATAATAAGCATGTACAAGGCCATAAATAAAAACAAATTTTGGTCCAAAGTTTGTTTTATGATATAGAATCTGGACACTCGTCAATTTTACGTTCAAAATATAAAGACTCTTAATTCTTGTTATAACAGCATCAAAGAAAATATAAAATTATTATTAATACAGTAAACAAGTTTATACAATAAACAGTATTCACTACTAAAATTTTTCTACTATTAAACAATTAGTAAACAACATCAGAACCCCTGAACCTTCCCTCCAGTTACGGCCTCCAGCATCTAAGATTATATGACACTCTCAATATTAAAACAAAAACCATAAATACTAATAACTACAGAAAAGAAGATGATCATAAAATAGTGTAAATATATAATGTTTAATACTTTCTTAAGCGTATATAAAAACATTTTGGTTTATTATATGTTATTATATTTCCAAATATTGTAATAATACTATTATTATTTCAATGCATACAAAACATGGTATCTATCATTATTTATGTTTTATTAGGTACTATTAATATTAAATTATTATGTACCAGTGGTTTAAATTACTATCAATTAAATATTATAAATCATATTATCTTGTTGTTCTATACAAGTAAATAGTCATACCCAATACCTATTCAAGTATAGCCATTAGCCATAGAGAGATTGGATCAAAATAATGATCAAGGAACACACAGTTTGAGAATGAATTGGAGTATAAATTAAATTAAATTTGAAACAGTGAAAAAGTAAAATAACATATCATAAATAACGACTAAAAATATAAAAAGGTCCTAATAACAAATAATTTGTAAATATTAAATTTTATGTAAATTGTAAATATGTAATATACATAATTCTAAGATAAAGTCTGCATATAAAATAAACAATAATTATGTATTTATCTATTGGATATAATGAATAGTGCAATGAAATTCAGAAATTGTACAAACATTCAAATTCTTATCAATTTGTTGATGTTTAAATTAAGCACCATCAATTAAAATTATTGACCATATTATTTTATTGTTACATGAAAATTATAGTAATACCTAATAGCTATTCAACAAGGTATGTAGTCTAATATGGTCATAGTTCATACAATTTTAGAATGAACTAAATTATACATTATCTTACTTGATATATATTTTTAACAGTAAACAATTTAAATAAAATCTAATGACTGTAGAGTAATAACTAGTAATATAAAGCAGGTTTTGACCAAATACAATTTGTACATATTGTTAGGTATTTGATAAAGATAATTTGGAAACAAATAATTCCTATAAAATAATATATAATATATAAGTATATCTGTTGGATGTAAAAATGCATATAATTGTTCAAAAGTATAAATTTCTAGATTCAGAATAAGCATATTATTACAGTGAATATAGTCTATTACGGACACTCATGGGCCCATCAATAGTGTCCACTGTCCATTAAAGATAGGTTGCCATCGCCAAGCAAAAAAAGTGACTAAGTAAAAATGTTTCAGATTTTATTTAGAAATTTGAAATTTGTGTAACTATAATTTTTGTGTTTTTCACTTAGTCACTTTGTGCACTTTGGCAAATATGCTGTGATTTAAACATGCAAAAATTGACCAAGTGAAATAAATAATTAAAGAGTATTACAAATTTCAAATTCCAAAATAAAATCTTAAAAATGTTCACTTGGTCAGTTTTTGTCGTGACCACGATGAGGTGTCTACAGTAGACTCTACACAGTTTTTATAATAAAATGTATGGGTACATAATATATAATGCAAATATTGTATTGAAATTTACAAAAAGTACATATATATTACTGTATTTATTATTTTATATGAATTATCAAAATAATTAAATTATTAGAAGTAAAAAAAAGTTATACGTTAAGTTGGAAAAATAATAAATTAATTATTAAAAAAATAATAATAATTTATCGCAAATTTTTTTAAGACTTCTTATAAAGTCTTATAGGCGCTTATATTCATATACTGTGTTCAAAATAAGAAATGTAAAATGGCAGCCAACTTGTGATCATGAGTGTGGCAATACTACACGGCAGGTATAAAGATTGGTAACTTCTTTGGGGCGGGGGGGACAAACAGGTGTTACCTGACTGCTGCTGATAAAACTGGCTGTTTTTGTTGCTTATTTTGAACAGAGTATAATGATGTTAATTTCTGGTTTAAATAAGATTGTTTGAACATAGTATGTTATCTAAACATAGGAGTATGTATGAACTATTTTAAGATATCCCCCAATTATATTTGAGTTTGAACTAATATTATCCGTTAACATGGCACTGGGGAGAAATATTACTGTCCAAGTTCATAAAATAAAGAATTTATAGACAGGTTGAAATATGTTAAATATAATATTTTTTATGCAAGAACCTTATAATTTTATCAGTTAAGAGAGGTATAAGATAAGCTAGGTTTCACTGTATTAGTAAATTATTTTGAATTTGGTACTAGTGATAGGTTTATAAAACCAATTTCCCAAATTAAGGGAATTTTAATTATAAATCTAATCTCTAGTAAAAACTATTAGTGCCTCTTAAATCAAAAATTGATTTATCTTGATTCTTTAACCATTGGTAAATACTCACATAAACTAAACTAGAGGAACATTGATATTAATAAATAATAATACTACCAACTAACACTATATTATACTATTATTATTTAGCGAAGGTAGTCAAACTGTGTGTCGAGGCTCAAAGGGGTGTAACAAGTAATTGTCAGGGGAGTCGTGGCCAGTGATGTGCTCATCTTCTTTAAAATGGAGGGGGGATATGAATTATTGACTATTCTCAGATCATGGTATATATACTTTCATTGCTTTATCATATATTTTGTTTGACAAAATTAAGCCAAAGGAGCTGTGGAATGAAAAAGTTTGAATACCACCTCTGTTAAATACCATACATATTATAATACTTATTAACAAAAATAAAATATGTTGGCAAATTAATCTTGTCTTTGACTTTCATTTCAAAGATTATATTATTCCTAATTATTTTGAATATGTTTGAGTATTTTTAGTGTGATATTAGATAATTAAAAATATTAAGCATAACTATAAATAATGCATATAATTTTAACTGAATATTATACTACTCACATATTAGTAAACTCAATGGGAGTATTATATGGAAGAGCAGTAGAGATATGATAAATTTCTTCATCGTTCCTGTAAAATCATAAATTTCAAAGACATTTAGTGACGGTTGAACAATCAGGAGACAAACTAAAAATATATTTATATTTTAGTTATGCGGAACAATTATTTTCTTGGAATCCAGCCAAATGCTATAAATTGATGATATAAGAAATTTAATCCTCAAAAAACTCAAATTTAAATTGAAAAGTGTATGTGTAAAATGTGAAATAAATACATAAAATAGAGATACGAGTAGGTACCTAGGTAGGTACATTTATGTTATTTTTTTTACCAATTTCTTTGGTACATAATAATAATAATAATAATAATATATATTGTATATATGTATACTACTAAATTACTTAGAGGTATATATCGAAAATTAATGAAACACGAAATATTGGACATGTAAACATGTTATATAATTTATATTCTACATACCTGCTGGTGTTTGAACAATGTCTCGTCGATTATTGAACGTGATTAATTCAAATTGTATATTAAGCACAAACGTCCATCTCCGTCCATTGTCAGTTTAATTACCATAAAAGCTAACGGAGCAAAATATTATAGTAAGCCACTAAGGTATGGATTTTTAATTATATAAAGTTCAAACCGCAGTCGGGGAACTCGTTTGTTATCAACGTTGTTATTGACGTTTTGGACAGACGTGCCCAAAGTGTTGTATGCCCGGTTGCTTAAAACGTGCAACGCCCGTGATTAATGTCTCGCGGTTGAACAAAAAAAACGGGATGCATAATTTTTTTTTTCACGAATTCGTTCTGAAATGTTTACGGACAAAACAGGGTTTTGCAAAAATAAATTAACCTTTTGTCGAATGGATTTGATTTATTGGTTTTAAAATATTACCATTTGGCATATTTTCGAGACATCATAATATTGGTCATTTGTTATCACGGTCTGTATGCAATAATTGATAAGCTCACAATAATAATATTATTAATTAATGTTATGTAATAAATTTTCTTTTCACAACAACAGCTATCTAATAGTATTGTGATAATAGATATTAGAGGTAATTAATCATTAGTGTTTAATAATTGTTATGGGCAATTAAAATTTAAAAAAAACTTCGTTTCAATATTCGTATTTCGACGGTATTTTCTACTTACCTTCACGGTAACGTCGTAAACCACTATACTATAACACCGCGAAGATGAATCCGTTCGAAGGAATGGAGATCTCCGACGACTGGCAAATACTGTTCAACATAAACGAACGGCAACCGTGCCGCAAGTGTTCCAAGTCCAGGAAATACTTTTGCTACACATGTTACACTTTAAATGCCGACATCGAAAACAAAATTCCCACTCTTAAGGTACCTAGCTCATAAACCTCACCGTTAGGTGTAAACTGTAGTATTTATTAGCAAATTTTTTATAGTTGCCGTTCAAAATCGACATTATCAAGCACAGCAGAGAGATAGCAGGCAAAAGCACTGCGATACATGCTGCTCTTTTAGCGCCGAACGATGTCACTATTTACATTTACCCTGACATGCCCAGGTACACTGAAGACGACAAGGTAATTTCCATCGATATATAATCACTCAATGTGTAGCATAAGCATTGACTTAATACTAATAGACTGGCCTTGCCTATAGAGTAGCTGTCAGTAGTAGCCGGTCAGACATACAGCAATGATGCACAGTATAATCACATCAGTGTTGTCATTCTCCTTCAAACACATATATAATAATTATTATGGTGCAGTCTCAAGTCACACATGAAGAGCTCGCTCTATCGATCACTGTTTTAAGTGTATAAATGGCCAGTCTATTAGTATAAGGTCTATGAGCGTAAGTGCATAATGTATAATATGTGATGTCTTATTATCGGGTACCAATATGGAATTATGAACATCAAAACCATAATTAATCATATCCAATTGTCTTGTCTTATTGTGTCAAGGTCAACATTGGTTTACAATTTTTAAGAGGACTTGGTACTCATTTGAGTGTTCTCTTCTTACAAATGTACAACATAGCAAAAACTTGTTTTCATTTAAAAGATTTACTCCAGCTGCATTCATAGTAGAATTACTAAAATTCCACAACTCATAGGGAAAAACTTGATCTGTAATTATTTGGAAATAAAAAAACCTGAAAACAATTGATTTTTAAAATATCATGGTAACTAAATAATATTATATAACATGTTATGATATGGGCGATACGATAATTATATAATATAATATGTTTATAAAACATTCTGTAAAACTAAAGGTGTTCCCGGTAAACATAGTTTGGACGGCTGGCTGCCGATAAGGCATTCATAGCTATTTAATAATTTTGATTATTTTTTCAGTCAGCAACATTTATCCGTTGCCGTGTATTCGCCTGTGTGCTTATACTCATGTACATTTTTTCATAAACATAATTTAGGTACTCAAATGGTGAAAGTAAAACATTCCACTAGTGTACGTTTGAGAAACAATGTGTTTTTGAATTTGAATCTGAAATATTATCTACTGATGGGTTTGTATTATTTTGCAAACTATGTGAATTAATGATTAATTTCAAAAAAAAGTTTAATGAAAGCCAACACATTTGAACTGAAGATCAAGTTCAAATAAAATCATAACAACTTTTAACGAATCAACCTACCAAATCAGATTTAATATATATATATAATCTAACATAAATATAAAATTATTGATTTATTGATTTAAATAAAAAATTTCATTTTTAATTTTCCTTATCATTATCATTATATTATTGTATAAAATTTAAAAAACTGTGAAATTCAAGAAACAAGTTAATAATTATTTGATTTTTTTTTAATGATACAATAATTATTGTAACTAATAATTATTAATAAATGTATTAAATGCATATTTTGAAATTTTTTATGCATATTCTACGGTTTTATGTGTTTTGAAGTGCTAAAAGTCCCAAACCCTGATTATGATCAATATAAATAACTTGAGTGTATAAATTATATTTAAACATCATAGTTTGGTAAAATGCTTTCTGAGTGTTCATTCTGACAATGGATTTAATTTTAATGTGTGGAAACTTATTGTTATCATTCTTTTTATAAATTTGTATGCATATTGAATATTTTAATAATTCTTCCATCTTTTATTTCAGGTTATCCTTGTTTATCCAGGAAAATCTGCTGTAACCCTACAAGACTTCTATTCTTCAAATAAAAAGTATTTAAATTGTTCATTTATTTACACTATTTGTTTTTAACTTTATATTTACCATATTTAATTATGGAAACAAATTATTTTATCATTATTAAAATGAACAATCCGTATAATTATAGGAATTTTACTAGTAGACAGAAAATCTATGATCTGATATAATATGGTATTGGTGTTGAACACATTGTGGAAGTAATTCTATCGTGGATTCTTGAAATCATTTCAAATATATACAAATATATAAACATATAAAGTAAAATATGATAAAAATATTATAATTCAACTTAAATAAGATATAAGTATACAATATTTTCTCTAAAATCTTTATAAAAACAATATACAATTAATATATTAATTATTTGTGTTTTCTTATGTATATAATATGTTCAGTGCATAATACCTGTAACACAACAAAATCAGCATATTAAGACCGGTCCCCTAGAACTTTCTTCATACTCAATCAGTTTGTAAAATGTCTAGCTTCTATTATTATTATTATTATTATTATTTAAACTAATTTAATAATCTGTACACTGGATACAATAAAAGCGGCTAAGATTGTGTCGATCGGCTAATCTAAAATCATTGTATCAAAAAAAAAAAAGGATTCTGAACGAAGACAGTCTGTTTATGGTATCACTAAGTACATTTGATGATATTATTGTGATTTAAGTAATTCAGGCATTATTTAGTAAAACAACAATAGGTTAGGTATTTTTTCCAAAAAAATTACATTTAAAAATATCATTGTGTCTATAAAATATAATAATAAGTTAAAAAAGTTTCATATACTCACGAATAATTTTTAGATAACGACAAAATAACTAAAACGTATTCTTTGTTTTATCATGTAATTTCGTCAAAATTTGAACTTAAAATATCTGAGTTTATACAAATTTTTTTATGGTTTTTGGTTACAGTCTGAATTATTTGTGTGAATCCTTGCTTTAAATTTTCAATCACTAGCTATGAAAATTAAACATTTTATAATTTATTAACTAAAATAAATTTGAAACTAAAAGGTAAAATCTCAGTTTTTCTTTAATTTTTTGTTTGTTTTTCCTGGTGCTTTTAAAAACTATTGGGAGTTTTAAATTTTGCTCTCCAGAATGGACTAACTAGATTCACTTTCCCATCGAAGAAGAAACTGTTGAAAAAAATCGAAACAGTTTTACAGCCCCAAACGGTGGTGACAAATACAAAAAAACAATTTAAAAAAAAAACACATTATAAAATCAATACATTCATTGCTAAGAAAATTAAATTAATACTTGATTTTTCATCCATTGATGTATTCACATATTTTTACAGACAAGAGGATAGTGAAGTACATACCAAAAAAAATACTTCCCACAAGTTCATGACACATGCATTGTTTATTGATAGTACTTGGAATCAAAGTAATGGAATTTTGAAGGATCCAATAATATCAGGTTTGATACTCGTATTTTAGTTATGTAATATTTTTGTTATTGTGTATTATATAACACAACCACTTATTCATTACATTTTTTTTTAGAACTTCCGTGTATAAAACTGCAGATAAGATTATCTCAATTTTGGAGACATCAAAAGGGCAGCCCTAGGTGGTTTTTAGCTACTATTGAAGCTATACATCAACTACTAGTCGAATTCACAGAAACAGATGTAGAAGCAAATGAGCCACCCCAAAATTATGATAATATGTTATTTTTCTTCAGGTTTATGTATGAAAAAATCCACCAACTATATGAACATGATAAGCTTAAATCATACAGAAGACCTATGAATATATGAAATTGTTATTATAAGATAAAAATTATTAATTTATCAATAATATATTTTTCCCCTATTTTATTATTGAAGAAGGGTAACTGTAATTGGTGCTTTATCAATTAAATCCCCATGTCACGTCATATTGGTGTTCTGTTTTTGCTTTCATATCCTGTAATCTTTCATTAAAATTTTAAATTATAAGAAAAGCAATAGTAAATGTTTGGTATGACCACTCGGTATAATTGGCTCTTGATGTACTAACATCCTGTCATCAACTATAGCAAGACCACTTGGCCATAAACACCAATTATTAGTATGAGGTGACTAATTTTGAGGCAATAAATCATAACGAATAACCTAACGATAGGAAAAATGAAACAACGCGTTTGTTTATTTATTTATTTATTTTGCAAGTCATGCACAGCGGCGGCGGCGTGCATGTTTATTTTTATTGTATTGATTTTTCTCACTATGTGCATAATTCACTAATAATTTCACGGGCCCCAGATTTATCTCCCTGGGACTGTGAAAAATATAAGATTATGGGCCAGCCCGGGCCCAAAGGCCTGCGACTTCAAAATAACTAACTAATATGAATCATATTATAGTAGTATAGAATAGTGTTAAAATTAAATGTCTTAAGCAATTTACCGATGGCAATATACATTATACTTGATGTAAAACGCCATGTCTATACTCTATGTTGATAAATATTCAATTATAATATTATTAATGTTCGTTTAGAAGTTATGAAATATTTTACTTTTGTTTTCTATTTAAATAATCAATGCAATTTAGTAGTGGGAAAGTGAATGTAGTTGTTGCATTTGAAAGGTTAATATTAAGTCCTGATAGTTTTAAAATGCGTAAGGGGAAAAAAGTGGGTTACTGTAATAGAAGGTGTTAAATTTGAATTCAAACAGGCACATATATGCTGAAACCCTCTCTTCCTCAAGCCTTAGAGACTTCACATATTTCAAATATTACCATAGTTTTCCGTTTCTTAATTAAATGAAAACGGTTTGGGGAGCATAATGTTAGTTAAAACATATAATATTATATTGTTTATTAAAATTTAGGAATGATTGATCTGTGTAAATTTTTTCATCTAGACCCTACTTCGTTTTTCATTTCTAGATCCGTGCCAAAATTCAATGATATAATATCATTGTATATTGTATACGTAAATTGATTCAGAGTGGTAACAATCAGCTACCAGTCAGCATATATTATAAAAATATTTTGAAATTACAATAAAATAATTAAGATCTTTATTCATCGTTTAAATATCTAATTTCGTCCAATATTGAACTTAAAAAATCACTTAACAAAACTTTATTTTTTTTAAAAGTAAAAACTAATGAAGAATCTTATATTCAATTTTTAATTCTTAGGTATAAATATAAATTGTTTTATGAATTTCTAACTCAAAATGATTTGACTCATTTAGAGCTATTTATAGGTAACCTATAAGAAATGTTTTATTCTTATTTGCTTTTTTTTTAATTCTTGTCGAGAAATAAATATTTCTTCTATAAAAAACTTGAACACTTAATACATGGATCTTTATTTGATGTTACTGTTTAGTGTAATAAAAAAAAAAAAAGTTGAAAGTAAATTCACAATAGTTTTTGATTCTGAGCGGAACAATGAATGTATTGATTTTACAATGATGTGTGTTTTTTTTTTTTTTTATATATCCTGTATTCAAAATTTCTACCAGAAGGAGTGCTTTGATTTCAACATATAGTACCTTATCTTTTAGCAAATTGGACCAAGATGGTACTTTAGAGAGGTCATTTTTCGATTTTCTCAATAGTTATTTAATGCCACGGGAAAAAGTACTGAAAAATTACGAAAAACCACTTAAAATGGGATTTTAATTTCTAACAATTTGTTTATCACCATAGCAACGAATAAAAAAAATAATAATTAAATAAATAAAATAATTAATGACAATATAAAATATACAGACTGACAAACCGTCTCCGTTCAGAATCGTTTTTCTTATACAATGATATTATATCATTGAATTCAAGTTTAATACAATCCATTAAACAATGACCAACTTGTAACCTACTGTACAGCTGAGCGACATCCACTTACCTGCCTTTTTTTAAATTTTAAATTTTTTTTTTTTTTTTTGTGTCTGTCATTACGTTTTAGGACAGTAAAAGTGCTTGGATTTTCTTCAACAGTTTCTGATAGGAAAGTGAATCTAGTTGGTACTTTGGGGGGTCAAAAGTAAAAATTTCTCAGTAGTTTTCACAAGCGCCGGGAAAAACAACATAAAAATGAAAGGAAAACGGGAATATTTACGCAAAGTCAGTTTTCCAAAAAATCGATTTTTGATTTTGGTGTAACTCTAAAACAAATGAACATATAAACATGAAATTTTCACTGATTGTTTATATTTGCATTTTCTATACACGATAACATTTTCAAAATATTTTGATTTATTTTGAACTGTTTAGGGACATTTTCATTTTCCATTTTTTTTTTAGTTTTTTTTCTAAAAATATCAATAAAATTTTATTTGTTGGTTGCTAAAGCTTGAAAATTTAATAAAAGACTCCTAGTATATTGTTTCAAAGGCAGATGAAAAATATTAAAAATCGTTAGTCACAGTTTTTTTTTTAAGCATTTAAAGTTCAAAAAATAACAAAATTTGGAAAAATCACGAAAATTTGCAAATTATTTCGAGTTAGAAATTCATAAATATTTTTCTTTTTAAATCTAAGATATGAAAATGTAATACAAGATTCCTTATAAGATTTCCTAGATTTATCAAAAAAAAAAATTCTATAAGAAAGTCAAATTAAATTTTTATGAGCGTTTGAAATTCAAATTTTTACAACATTGGATATTCACTCGATTTCTCATGTGGCGATTTCCTTATTTCGTTGTAATTCAAAAACGAATTACTGTAGGTACATGAAAATTTCACTGAATGTTTATATTAGCATTTCCTATACACCATACAATTTTGAAAATATTTTGATCTTTTTTGAGCCGTTTACGGACATTTTCAGTTTTCAATTTTTTTAGTTTTTTATTTCTATAAATATCAATAAAGTTTTATCTGATGGGCCAAAAAGTGTAAAAAATTAATACAAGGCTCCTGATATATTGTTACAATAGCAATTGAAAAATATTAAAAATACATAGGCACAATTTTTTTTTATAAGCATTTAAAGATCGCATTTTGACAAAATTTATCAAAATCTCGAAAATTATCAATCGTCGTAATTAATAAATTATAAAATGTTCAGTTTTTATAGCTAAGGATTGAAAATTTAAAAAAAAAGATTCTCATAAATAGTTCATACTGTAACCAAAAAATCTAAAAAATATATGAGCACAGTTATTTTTTACAGACATTTTAAGTTCAAATTTGGGACGAAATTACATATTAAAAAACCTAGCATACCTATTTTAGTTATTTTGTTGTGAGTGTATAATATACTATTCGTGGGTACTTGAAGCTTCTAAAGTACACTATATTATATATCTATGATAGTATCAGGGTTTGTTATTGATGTATAACGTGTTATAACCTATAAGTACCTAATGGATATTGTGATATGATTAATTTGGAATTTATTATAGGTCAATTTTTTTTTAATACCATAGATATGTATATTGTATATAATATGTCTTAAACCTAGACTGACGTACCGTCCAGGGGCGTCATTTGGGGGGGGGGCAGGAGTATGCATTTGCCCGACCCTAGATTTTAAAGTAGCCAAATGGGCCGGTGGCCGGGTCTAAGCGGGCCGGGTGGCGGGTTTTCTTTAACAATCAATATAATCTTAAATCTACTGACTATTCTAGAATATACTACATAATATAAAAATAGAAATTTGTGGTATATCATAAATCATAATAATATATTAATTAATATTTAATACGTTATTATTATTATTATTATTCTATTCTATGGAACTATATTCGTTATCTCAACGATAAAGTAAGTTTAAAAACCACGATTAAAGATCAGCTATCGACGTCGTGGACCGTGGTAACCAGTATAATGTAATGTAACTATGACCACAGAACAATGTGACCGAGCTATGACTGATAAGAGCTGTTGAATTTGTTTATATACCTACATATATTTTTCTTTTTGTAGATTTGTTAATGAATTAGATAAACGCTTCAATGATACAAATAACAGCATTATTTTAACTAGCAGCATTTTCCTTTCCTCCAGCCCTGAATATTTTAATTTTAAATGTCCATTCCTTGATGATTTTTTACAAAATTACAAGCACTTTAATATTAACACTATCAAACTAAAAGCTGAATTTCTGAGTGCTAAAGAATTACTTTCGGGTGATTCAAATGCCAAACATGATCTATATTCTATTTCAAAAATATTACTCCAATTACCTCAATGTTACTCTGAAACATTAAAAATAATAACCATTCTTATGACCTTACCAGTTTCCACCGCTTCTAATGAACGCTTTTTTTTATCACTTAAGCAAATTAAATCATATTTAAGATTAACTATGGGTGATGATCGTCTCAATGATTTATTGGTTGTTGCTGTTGAAAGTGATGAGGCCTCAACAATTAATTTAGATGAAGCACTTCACGTTTTTCCTAGTATGAAGAATCGTCGCTACCCACTTATAAGCTAGCTAAGCAATGCACAACTATAATGCTTTTAAATTGTAATAATAATAAAGAACAAAAAAATATTTTAGTCTTTAATTCCTTTTTTTTATTATTTGCTTATGCTTATTGCTTTTTAAATTTAAGTATTATAATTGTTTTATGTTATAATTCAAATAAGGTATACTTAGTGAAACAGTGCCACAGTTGTGGTACTTTAATGCATATTTTATTGGGAAACTATTATTAATATTATACAAATATTATTAATTATTTGGTTTTCAGAGTAAACTACCTACATTGAAGATTATAATAATATGTTGATGTGAGTTAAGATTAGGTATTTCTGTTTTAATAAGTAGTATGTTAACAAAAGCGGCTACAGTTTGTGTTATATAAAT